CTGGTCAAGTGAGTGGTAGTTAGCTAAAACTTTATTCTGTTATTTGGGGAGGGGGGCCACGGTCGAGACCCCCCCCCCCCCCCTTTTTCCGCTTTTCCATTTGTAGTATGTGATTAAATAATCTCCCTATTCACATTCACACTCTTTCTGTGCAAATTTCAGAACCAGTATATTTCACCTAAGAAAAAAATTTTGAGAAAAAACAATCATGAGTAAAAAAAAATCATGTAAAGCGTTACTTTCAAAATGGCAATATCACAGTTGTAGTGACCATAGGCGGAGAAAAAAAGGGGGGGGGGGAGGCTTGATTCAATATTGCTGTCTTTTGACCAAATGTTAAAAGTGAGAGAGCACATTCTGCAGTAGAGGGGATATCCAGAAGTGAGTTCATATCACACTTCAGGCTTGGCTAGGGCATAAAGAGTTATCTGCCTGTTTGTTTCTGTACATGCTGGAGAGCGATGGCATTCACTGGAGTACAGTAGAATTGTTTTAGGAGCTACCAGATCTCACGGAAATAAAGTTTATAGCTCTCGAGAGCTTGCTGTGAAGCTGAAGCATCTGTGGAGATGGTAACATGACTGCAGTTAGAAATGGTGTCACATATCATTTTGATAGCCTGGTCTAGTGCTTAAATCTCTTTTATGTAGCTGACAAAACATAATATATATCTAGAGACGCGGAGATTACATTTTGCGCTGTTGGCTTCGCACTCTGATGGTCTTGGGCTAGTTTCAAGACTGTGCAGTTAGTTCACAAGTGATTTTTTTTTTAAACTGAGGTCCTAAGGGATTGTTACCCTGACTTGTTGAAATGTGATATTTTTTATGTGTATGTTGTTTTGTCTATAGCTTAGCACCAACAAGCAGATCAAAGTTCAAAGTCAAAATTTTGAGAACATTCCTCTTTCTCATAGAAACATAGGGATGAGAGATATGGTTGTGAGTCATGGACTATGTCACAATCTTTAAGGAGAAAAATCCTGCTTTTTGAGCTACAGAAAGATTCTGTGAATAGCATGGACAAAGGGGAAACAAAATATTATTTAAATTCTAAAAGATCTGGAAGTCAAAGAAAATTGTCTCATAAACAGCATTTTAACTCGATCCCTGGAAGTCTTTGACAATATCAATTGTTGTAATAACTTGATATAATATGAGAATAAACATGACCAAGACAGAGACAGTGGTGATCAGAAGACAGAAAAAAAATTAGAAATAAAATTTAAAAACAACGCCTTGAGACAGACAGAGGAATTCAAGAGTTTGGGAGCAATTTTCACATCCAATGAACAACTGGACAGAGATATTAGCTCGAGATTGCAAAGGTTATCAAGTAATGGGCCAACTATCTGCACTGTTGACACACAAGCAGATACCTCGGAGTACTAAAGTGAATCTTATCAGAATAATTTTTTGGCCAACACTATGCAATCATTGCCAAACGTGGACACTTACATCCTCCAGTGAACATAAATTGTGACCACAGAGATGCAATGCCTTAGAAGAGCTGCAGGAGTTTCAAGGAAAGACAGAAAATGAAATCAGACAAATTCTAGGAATAAAGCTAGTCTTACAGGTCATCAAAGAACAAGAAGTGAAGGGGTTTGGACACCTAACAAGAATGCCTTTGTGCTATCTACCGTAGCGAACCACACTGAAACATGACAATGGGTATAAAGAGAAAATATTGAGTGATGGCATTAGGAACAGCCTTAAAGAAATGGACATCAATCGTAATAGTGCTCTTGACAGAGCTCATCAACGAACATTACATCTTCACCGACACTTCACTGAAGTACAAGGGGAAAGAGAAGAAGAAGAAGAAGTAGTAATGACTTGAAAGATCAGTAGTGAGGAGTCACAGTAATAGCTAAGAGAAACAGGGACCGACCAGCTCAATGTGGACAAAAGATATGAGACACTGGGAGGAGGCAAGAAAGCTGGTGAGAGACTGTTTCTTTTACACAGGCTGTGATGTAAATAACACTTTGATAAAAACCTGCTAAATGATGATAATGTTTTAATATCAAGTTTTTTTCTCATGAGTATAATTTTGTTCAGATGTAACAAGTTTAATACGTATGCTCTTGCTCACATTTGCAACCTTGTTCACATTCAGTATTTATTATGTGTATAATCTTGCTCAAGTATAATATTTATTACACATATAATCTTGCACAAATGGAATATTTCTCATTTACATAATCTTGCTCAAATGTGACATTTCTCATGTATATAATATTGCTCAAATTTATTATTTCTCATTTATATATTTCTCAAACGTGATATTTCTCATTGACATAAGCTTGCTCAAATTTGATATTTCTCATATATATTATCTTGCTCAAATGTGACATTTTAAAATAACCTTGTTCCGCTGTAATATTTTCATTCAGAAACAAACCTTACAAGGCCCACTGTGCCCAGTCCTATGTCCACACGCCACTGAAGCCCTTTGCCTTTGAGCCACCCTACAACACTGATGCCAAGACATACTCCCACTCCACGGCCACCAACATTTACGACTATGAGGAGGAATTGGCCTACGCCTACGACAGCCTGGAGTTTGGAGGGCTCACTGTACCTGAGCTTGACAACTACATCAACACAAACATCAAAAACAAGAACCGAATCTTTGTGGGCATTCAGCTCCATGGAATCAAGAAATCTGGTGGGTGACCTCTTTGTTTACCTGAGTGCTATATGCAGGTCAATAAAGTCATGTCTTTATTTTATCACTATCATCACTGGTTTGCTTGTTATCATCTTGTGACATTCTTGTTTCATCTTGTGACATTCTTGTTTCATCTTGTGACATTCTTGTTTCATCTTGTGACATTCTTGTTTCATCTTGTGACATTCTTGTTTTATCTTGTGACATTCTTGTTTCATCTTGTGACATTCTTGTTTCATCTTGTGACATTCTTGTTTCATCTTGTGACATTCTTGTTTCATCTTGTGACATTCTTGTTTTATCTTGTGACATTCTTGTTTCATCTTGTGACATTCTTGTTTCATCTTGTGACATTCTTGTTTCATCTTGTGACATTCTTGTTTCATCTTGTGACATTCTTGTTTTTTATCTTGTGACATTCTTGTTTCATCTTGTGACATTCTTGTTTCATCTTGTGACATTCTTGTTTCATCTTGTGACATTCTTGTTTCATCTTGTGACATTCTTGTTTCATCTTGCGACATTCTTGTTTCATCTTGTGACATTCTTGTTTCATCTTGTGACATTTGCAGGACTTGCTCGCATCTACATCACATCACCTGGAACACAAAAGTATTATGTTGGGCGGTTTGCCATCCTTGGTGGACCATCCGAGATGCCTTGGAGATATGACCGTCTGTATAAGTAAGATCCTTCTCAACATCACTCATGTATAACTTTGTTTTTTTCCACAGAGTATATTTGTCAGTGGGATATGTTGCATGAGTCAGTTCAGCAGACATCAAAAGAGACAATCTCACCAACCCATAAAGTTGCAAAAAAAGAAATGGATGTCAACTAAAATTCTGCAGTTGATGGATGAAAGAAGGAAGAAAAAGAATGATAAAGAAGAATACTCTAGAATACAAAAAAGAAATAGTGAACAAATGCAAAGTGGCTAAGGAAGCCTGGCTGAATCAAGTGTGTACAGAGGTTGGGGAAAATCACAGGAAAGACACACATTCCATGTACCAACAGATAAATATGTTAACAGGAAAGACGACGCGTAACAGCACTGGATGTTAAAAATCAAAAGATGGTGACTTATTAATGGGACCTAGTAATATAATTAACAGATGGACAGAGTATAAAGGGGAATTGTATGATGAAAATAGACCAGATGTAGAACTGCAGACCAACAATGATGGTCCACCAATAATGACTGCAAAAGTTGAGGATGCATTACATCATATGAAGAAAGGAAAAGCACCCGGGCCAAACATCTCACTGGAAGAAATCAAAGCACTGGGATATTTTGGAATTGAAATAATAACTAAACCTTTAATTGATATTTATAATAGTGGGTACATTCCAAATGACCTTTTAAAATCCATATTTATAGCTCTGCCAAAGAAACCAGACACTTTAAAATGTGAAGAATATCGCACAATGAGTCTTATGAGTCACATGACTAAGATTTTACTGAGAATAATTATGAGAAGAATAAGAAACAAAATTAAACCAGAATATCAGCGATGAACAATGTGGATTTGTAAAAGGAGAAGTTACAAACAATGCCATTTACATCCTAAGGACATTGTCAGAAAGAGCTATAGAAGTAAAGACTGATTTGTACTTATGCTTCATAGACTACAAAAGCATTTGACTGTGTGAAGCATGAAGAAGTAATCAAACTGTTAAAAAAAAATTTAAACATTGATAGAAAAGATCTACAAAAAAAAAAGAATATGTATTGGCAGCAAACAGCAGCAATAAGAATTAACAACTGTTTAGGTACATTTCAAAGCATAAGGACTGGTGTACGACAAGGATGTGTGCTGCCACCTGATTTGTTTTCAATATACAGTCTTCTTCTTCACTTCCTCTTTTACCGCTGTGGGTGTTGAGGGATTTCAATATACAGTGAATATATAATGAGAGCTTTAATTGGTATGCCCGGAATTGTGGTTGGTGGGCACAATATAAACAATTTACGTTATGCTGATGACACAGTCTTGATAGCAACAAGTAAAAAGAACTAAAGGAAATGATACACATTGTGGTGTTAGAAAGTGAAAGAATGGGCCTCAGTCTGAATAATGGGAAGACAAAAGTGATGGTGGTATCAAAGAAACAAATTATTCCTAAATGTATGATAAAAGTTTATTGTCTTTTTTGGGACAAGTACAGAAATTTGAGTATCTGAGCACATGGATAACATCAGATTGAAGAGATATAACTGAGATAAGAAATATAATAGGACAAGGAAAAACTGCATTTTATAAAATGAAGAACATCTTATGCAATATATCTTTGTCATTGATAGTTTTAAAAAAGAATTCTTGCTTGCTACATACATCCAGTTGTAACATATGGCTGTGAATCTGGACAATCGGTAGGCAGGCCAAACAAATATCTTGAGGCCTCAGAGATGTGGTTTTACAGAAGAATGCTTAGAATACCTCGGACTGCCAAAAAGAGCAACCAAGAGGTTTTGAAAGAGGCGGGAGCCCGAAGACAACTTATCACATACATCAGAAGGAGAAAGTCATAGTTTTTCGGCCATGATATGAGAAGAGGGAAAATAGAATATGTTATGACCACTGGAAAGATCTGTGGAAGGAGGGATAGAGAAAGACAGCGAGAGAAGATTCTTGACAGTCTTGTTGCATGGCATGGAGGTGTGTCGGCACATGGACTGATACATGCTGCAGGAGATTGCAGCTTGTGGAGAGGCATGATCGCCCATGCCAGTCGGCAAGGCACCTTATGATGATGAGTTTGGTCAGATCTCTTAACTCTTTGAGTCCCAAGGAGCCTACCATACAATCATAGGTTTCCACCTAGAAGCCCAGTTAAAACATATGACTCTCTTTACTACTCCTTGGCCCTGCGATGCTACAACCACTGGGACTCGAAGAGTTAAACAATGATTGCTGTAACTAATGAACTTAGTCTTCACATGATATTTTTTAATGGAAACACATTTCAGTACATATGAGACACTGTACCTAAGACTGTCTTCTTTCAATAGACATAGACTGACAATTCACTGAATACTAACAAAGAAAATGTGTCTCGCAGATTCAACATTGACAATGTACGTCTGCATCAAAGATTAAACACCTGACAGTCTGCCCAAAAGATTGAACACTGATAATATCTTAAGTTTTCAGATAGAAATCAGTATAGAAACAAGATTATTATGGCCTGGAGAGTATGAGGCACCTGGGTGTAACCAGAGGGTCTAGCCGGCTCACTACAGGAAAATCAAGATGGACATATAATCAGATCGTGACTGGTAGGATCAGTATTGGAACTCTGCGTTGGCTGCTGAAGATGAGGACGGAGAATGCTTGGGAATGCCCTGAGTGCTGTGATGTCAACTCAACTCAGATGGAACAAGGGCATTGTATTTCTGACTCCCTTTATGGCCCACTGCCAGTCTCTGCCTTAGCTCTCCAGTGTAGCACTAACAATTTGTGCTTTACATTCCATTCATGATATGGGCAATCTATGCTTTACTTCTCCTAAAAGAGACAGACACTCCACTGACAC